AGTGTGTATGTGTTAAAGTATGGTTGCATATTTTACATACGTATGCCTGTTTTAATAACTTTTCTATATATTATGAGAAGTCCATTAACAAGGATAACGTTCGAAATTTCCGTTCAATAATTATTATATTAATAAATAAAGAATTTACTACAGACAAAATAAAAGTGCTGTAACATCATGCCTTTGCGTTTTAAACAGTATAGCAAGAAAATATTGTTAAAAATCGTTTCATGGTATCTTAAGCAAACACTTTTGTCTTTGGCTGTACTATATCTTTGATCATTTAATGCAATTATTTGTTTATATAATATTATATAATTATTTTATGTATACGTATTTGAATTTATGAGATTCAGTATTTTCCTCTTTATTTTTATGTCGATTGCAATGTGTTAAAATTTAGATAGGTTCTGGTCAAATTAAGTGAATGTAGGTGCTCTTTATTCAATCGTGCATTTTATTAAAATTATGGTTGAAATAAAAGTAGTAAATTTTACACAGCTTCGAAATGTATATGTCATCAAACATCTGCCAAACTTGTACGATTAATTTATGAGATAAATAATAAATATTTCCAACACTAGATATAGATATTATTGAATATTATACATTTTTGAAGCTGTGTTATTTACAACGAATCTTATATGACTTTTGCATTATGTGAAACTATACAAATTTATAATAGAAATTCCTTTAATATATTTACTTATTATTCTGAATGTTCATTTGACGCACATGAAAGTGCATTGTTCTTTTTTTTTCAGAGCGTTTTTCTGTTTTTTACACTTATACTTAAGAAGAATAATTTGTAAGTATAAATATTCACAGTATAGGAAAAATGCAATACATTCTAACTTAGATGCTGTAAGTTAAATAATTTCAATGTAATCACCGTTACTGAGTCTTTGGTTATTTCCTCTTTGTATTTTTACTTCGTATACGCTTTCCGTTTTGGGATTTTAATTTCTCATTTAACCGTGTATATTTTCATCAGATGTATTGATTCAAATTGAGATGTGATTTATTTGCATATGTATACCTTTTTATCATTATGATAGAGACACTTCCTTTAAGTTACGTTAAAATACGAAGTATTATATCTTTTGTGAGAATACAAACTGATTTCATATCATACAACATGGGCATTGAAATAGATGCATTTAATTGTTTTATTGTTAAATGACTTTGATTTTTGTAACCATAAAGAAAAGTACACATTTGTTAAATACATTTTATAGTGCAATATTTTCAGTTGCTGTGAAAAAAGAATGGTAAAAATAATGTTTCAAAATGAGAGTAGATTTATAATTTTTCTGATTATGGCTTCGAGTCACTGAGACTAGACTTAAAGAAAAAAACTGTATATTGCAGATATTTATATCTGTGGTAAATATTTTCTAAAAACATATGCATTCACATTAATAATTCTTTTTATTTAAATTTAATCGTCAGTTTTTTTGTCATAGTACAGAGTTAAACATATATTTTTACCATTCGTTAAGTAAAAAAATGGCCTATATTTTGTATGCGTCGCGAACGCAAACATTGTGATCTAGAATGATTATGACGACAGTTTAGTATGGATAAGACGTGTTTATTAAATAGTATGGATGTGTTGCGCTTCTCCAATAATCAGTTTTTCAATAACATAAGTGAGTCTTTTATTTTTTTACACCAATTTTTCCTAAATATTTATATAAACTAAGCTAGTTCAGTAATTAAATAAAACTCCCTCTTTTAGTATTAAACATAACTCATAAAGAAGGGTAAGCAATACAGTCAGTAACATCAGTGATAAAAGTGAATAATTACTTCTTTAACTTTTTATTGAAAACAATCAAATTATCTACAATCAAACAAATGATAGAACAGGGATATTTTTAAGTAAAAATATGGTTCCGAAAGTGTTTTGTTGATTTTCTATATTCAATGCAATTAATTATTATTTCCCATAGATTAAATGAATGTTCATAATGAAAAGGTAATCTTTCTAAATTTAGTCTGTCAGTTTTTGGTTTTACGAAGAATTTCGTGGATAATATTCCCTTTTTGAACAAATTATATGTTAAATTTATACAAGATTGACCTTGAACCTGATAATACAGTTATTCTAGATATTGGGTCAGGGTTAGTTTCGAGCTTTCATATGTATACATACCCCTAGCTAGACTTTAGCCTGCTACTTTACTATGTAAAATTTACAGTTTAAAAAAAAGATTATTATATAATTATTACCTATTAATTTAGCAGTAATGTAGTTAAAAACTGTCGTTGATTTTGCTCGGTATATGTAAGTAGTGAGTAACGGTAAGTATTGTTCGCACAGCCTGTCAGTGCTCGGTGAGACGGCCGGCCGCCAGAAGCCGCGAATATTTTCCTCTTTGGACATCCAGAGGAGGTACGCCGCGGTTATTGTGGTCAATCAATCAAGCATTGTTTTACTTTGTTTTTTTTTTTCTTTTTTCAAATGCGGTTTTTGTCAATTGGGAACGATGCGTTTTTGTTTTGTTTTATTTTAATTCTGATTTTAACCTTTTTTGTATTTATTTTGGAGATTTTTTTCGAGTTATGTATTGTGAATTCGAATGTACTTTTAACACGAAGCATTTTTTTATTTACTATATCTTATTATACCTAAGGAAAAATATTCTAATTTTATATATATTTTCTTGTTAAATTACTAAACATTAACAGTTAATTTTGATTATTTTTTTATTGACTTGTAACAGGTTTAAAAAATTGCCATTTTTTTTATTTTCTTTATAACAATGGTTTATCCAGAAAAATCGTATCGTTCTTTCAATTTATTGTACACATTTCTTATTTTATGCTCTTCCATAATATAGTCCAACCGATTTCATTTTTACCTACGTTGTTATTTTTAATCATAAGCATGCTCTGATACAAAATTTATAAAAAAAGCATTCAAGTCACTCTTTAAAATCACTTCCATTTACACTGAATAGACATTTTAAAGAATATTCCTTTGATTTTTGTACCGAAGTGTTGTTTTTTGTGAGGAGGATTGATGTTAAACATTATTACAAAAACAAACAAAGAAATTATATTTTAATGAATAAAAAAATTTATAATTTTTATTTTTTAAGCATGTAACTGCTCGATGTCCAAATCTAAAGAAGTCCCGTCTGCTGCCTTGCCCGCGCGTATTTTTTTCTAGTAATATTTTCTTTGAATAAAAATATGTTTAAAAATCGGATGGATTATAAATACCAAAGTTTTTCGTCAATAACAATATTTAACATTTTTTGTTATACTATCCCTGTTCGAGATGCAGTTTTTGAAACATTTTTCTTTTTATCTATAACTAATGGTGTGTTGCATTTTGACCCCAAGCATAAATGAGGTTTTAGTGTTCCAAGGAATTCAGGTGCTTCTGGATGCATTTTACTACTCTGGATGTATGATGTGGACATTTATATGATGTTTTCTTTTTTATGATGAAGAAAAAGTCGTCAAAAGTTTATATAAAGCAGGGGTGTATTTTAAACTCAGGCGACGCGGGCCTTTCCAAAGATTGCACCCCCAACGATCTTCACTTAAAAAAATCAAGGTCCTGTATATTAGGTATTCGTAATAATGTGATTTATAAATCACATTATAACGAGTACCTTTATACGAGTTTTGCCGCCCCTTGCAGCCTACCGACCAGGGGCATGGCCCTTTTGGCCCTATGGTCAATATAACCCTGATATAAAGGTCTATGGACATCAACAGAAATCTACACAACTATCAACGAATGTATCTCGTTGCCATATAAAATAAAATTTGCAGACAATAGGGGAGATGACGGGTAAAAGTAAATAAATTCTATTAAATTCGTCAGTAACATTTTTTCAAAAAATAGTGGAGACTTATTTTTTCTCTTGGCAATCAACCAAAAATTTACAAAAATAAAGCAAATCTAAGTTTGGGAGTGGGGGCTCGTGACGTCACTGCTAAGTAAAAACTACCAAGACAACGTCATGCGACGTTTTAAATCAATTTATCTTTGTGATGTTTTGTTTGTGATACATATGTGTCCAATACTTTTTGATAAGGTTGAACACTCTATCAGATTAAAGAAAAAATTTGGTCATGATACCTCTATGAAACCAATATTATATTTTTAAAGAAAAATAAACTAGTAGGGTATATTTTTTTCTTTCGTGGCCAAGAATATCCCATCAACCTAGAATCTTTCAGTAATTTTTTTTGGAATATCTATTTGTTTATAAATTTATTTTCTTTCCTTTACATACTCGAGAGATATATTAAGAATGTTATCTTAAAAACCGTGATGTTTATGAATTTCATTTTGCTGGCTCTCGTGTCTCTCTTACTTGCCTAGAACTTACCAGAGTCCATATAGTGTTAATAACAATGGAAGCCTTTGTTTTCTTTTGCTGTCATATTATTATTGTTCAAAAATTAAATAAAAGAGAAAGCATCATCCACACTTTTTTAAAAGAAAAAGTATGAAAGTTTGACTTGGAATTATTTCTTTAATTTCTGATGGTTTAATTTATCATTTAGTCCATGGTAAGTCTTACGGCGATGGAATGTTGCATGGCATTTCATTGGAATGGGTAGCATCATATGCAAGTAATCTGCCGCTTGATTGTTGTTAGTGTGTGCTTTTTTCATAATATCCTTTGTTTTTCAATCGGATTTTTGTAACAAGTTCTTTTGCACCTTTTGCTAGATACAAAAATGCTATTTTAATATTTATATTGGCATTGCGAATTAGGGACGAGTAATATACTATGATGTAAACTAAAAAAAAAACTAATTTGACAAACAGAACAAAAATAAAACCATTTTTATTAAATTAGGTCTATTATTTTTCTATTATCTAAGGATTAATTATTTGGATTTTTTGATGAAGTCAACATTACACATTGCTTGTTACAAAATCTCCAGTAAAGTCCCCCCACACAAGATTTCCGTTATCGACCGCAGCCCTAGCATTTAGTGTTAGTTTTATGTTTTTCTGTTTTTAGGCCATTGGACGGCTCGACCCCGAAGCATGCAGTAGGAGCTAGCCCACAAGCCATGCTTGGGTAATTATCCCCGTTCATTTTACAAGTGTTCTATATCACGAAGACTAATCAAAAACCTCTGATTATATACACGCCTAGAACTAGATAGAGAAATCCAAATAAACCGCGCAAAGAAATCGGGTCATATTACGCGCAATGTGTGCGCGACCCTTATGTCAGATTGTTTGAAAGCAGTCATGTGTGCGAGTGTAGCCACAAGCTTATCTACCATATGTAGTAGATATTTTATGGGGCGCTTCCGTGCAGTTAATACGGTACCTTGGCGTGTATATAAACAAAGTCACACACATAGATCGCAATGGATAGGTAACGGAAGTGTGTAAACTTCGAATGCCAAGAAAGCGAGCAGAGATCTTCCTCTGAAGCTCTTTTACTTCTTCCCGTCACCGTTATCATGTCAATCTTTTTTTTTATAGCGAGGTAGGCAAATGACTCCATCCCACCTGATGTTAAGTGGTGATAGAGTTCAAACGCGAAGATAGCTGGTACAGCAGTTATAAACTGCTACACCAACCATCCTCACCTTGCCGGCCTGCATAAATGCTTCTTCACGCCTCTCTTAAAGGAGCCCAGATTATAGGAAGGTGTGCGCGGGTAAAGAATTCCACTTGCGAATAGTACGACTAAGAAATGAGTCACCAATTTTTTTTTTGTTCGTGTAAATCGCAATAAAAAAGGCTAAAATGTGCCGAAGAGGCACAAAATGTGACTTAACATCAGGTGGGGTGGAGTCATTTGTTGGAGAAAAAATTTAAGCTGTAAACACGATAGAAGTGTAAAAGGATGCCGGAGTCCATGATTTTCCACTACTTCTCAGTAAGTACTTAAAATAGTGCGCACGCGTTTATGCGTCGTCTACTTAATCTGTGACTATAACATCACTATCTTTATTTACCAGCGCCTATTTGATTAATTGACTTCGTGATATAGGACAACTTAACCTACATTTTGTTTTCGTATGTGCTATTAAAGTGCTGTACACTTTTATTTCAAGCTATAATTACTGACCAATGAGTTTTATCGCGACAAAGTTGTTATGGCGAAATATAAAAGTGTTCAACTCTTGTCACTGATTTTGATTTGTTTATGATTTGTTATTAGTTTAAGAAATCTGTGATTTAAGCATTTTATTTGTTACAAGTTTGTTTTTCTAGAATTATTGGGTTCATTAACAGAAACGGTTTTGTTAATTTCTATCCACACCATTTCAGACCAAAAGTTCAGTATAAATAAAAATCATTATCACAACGCACTTTTGTTGTTAAGTGTATATTGTAATTACAACATTTATTAAAATCACATTCTACTAATATTATATAAAAGTGAAAGTTTGTGTTTGTTTGTTTGTATGTATGTTTATTATTCAATCACACAAAAACTACTGAACAGATTGGGATGAATGGTATGCATATATTTTATGACCTGGATTGAGGTCTTGGATACCGGCAATATGATGGTTTCCTGTGGGATTCCTATAACACTAAAATTAATGCGGACAAAGTCGCGGGCGACCGCTAGGGATGTTTATAATTATATCATCTAAATATCTGTTTTTGATTTGTATAGTCGTCTTCTTCAAACAGTAGTAGGTTCTCAATTTGTCCGTTTTTTTCTGTTCGCGCATATCTTATATCTTTTGACGACGGCACCGGGTTTTAAAGTGTTGCCTACTCGAGAGGTCCCGGGTTCGAGCCCCGGTGAGGGCAAATGTTAGTATCATGAATATGAGCTATTGTAACTTAGGCCGTATACAGAAAGAAAGCTAGAAGCCGAGCAGCGCTTGTCGGCGTTGGTCCTTACAGGTAACAGTTACATAAAAGAAGCAGATTGAAGCGTAGTTGTTCATTAATTTCAAAGGGCGGTGCCAGCGCTGACCAGCGCTTGCCGGCACTTGTAGGCGCTGATAAGCGCTGGTCGGCTTCCAGCTTTCTTTCTGTATACGGCCTTAGTCATGGATGTTAATATATATTCCTAGATAAAATATACTTATATGTATGTATCAGTAGCGATGCGCGACTTCGAATAATACTAATCGTTCGACTCCACGAATCATTCGACTAAGTCGACTGCGCTTTATATCATTCGACTGGAGTCGAAGGCATCGGGCGGCGCGCATCGCAAGTAGCGACATTTGACATTAGTATTACTAATTACTAGTCGTTATTCGAATAATGCCATTAGTATACTACTAATTTGCTTTTCGAATAGCCAAATTAGTAGTTACGAATTAGTCGAAAGGTAAAATCATTCGTAGTCGCGCATCGCTATGTATCAGTATATGTATTCTATCCGTTACCCTAACATCACATTACACAAGCCTTACAGTGCTTACTTTGGGCCTAGGCTAATTGGTGTGAGTGTTCATAATATTTATTTATCTCCGAGTTGCGTGTACCGATTTTGTTGGTTCTTTTTTCTTTGACTAATTCTTTTACGCTATATACCTATATTAATTTGTTGAAGATGTAATGAGTATTTTAGTAGGACCCAATGGAATTCCTCAATTTCGAGCAAAACTGAATTTGTGTTTCATCATTTTAGACACAGACATGAAACAGGTACTAAGTACTTAGTTCGTTAATGGTGTCGATTCTGAGTTGATTCTCTGAACCTAAACGTAAATTTTACAACAGTTTATCCTAGTCATTCTCTATAAATAATGAAAAGTGGTGTTAAATTTAGTTTTAAGTTTAGGGAATTGAGCCAGATTCGAGACCAATGTTACTCTGGCTTATGGAAAGTGGTTTTGTGGAACTGCTCAGATTGGAGTGTGAGTCCTTTTATTATGTAATTTTTGTTGTAATAAAAATTTGTAAATAATGTGTTGGTGTGTGATGCCGCAGGCAAGGTAATGAAGAGCAGGTGAAGCCAAGAGTTCTTCGGTTCACGTGGAGTATGAAAACCACCTCGTCCAGGGACCCTAATGAGATCATGGCTGAGATACGCAAGGTGAGTGACTCTTCAACATCAGCCTATTAAGGTCCCCACTGCTGGGGCCCAGGTCTTCCCTATGGATGGAATAGAGAGATTGGGCCATGACTTACCATGGGCATAGGCCTTCCCTATGGATGGAATAGAGAGATTGGGCCATGACCTACCATGGGCATAGGCCTTCCCTATGGATGGAAAGGACAGATTGGGCCATGACCTACAATGGGCCAAGGCCTTCGCTATGGATGAAATAGAGAGATTGGGCCATGACCTACCACATGGTCCCAGTGCGGATTGGTGGGTGCTAACGACTGCAGATGCAGCCGGGACCAACAGTTTAACGTGCCTTCCGAAGCACGGAGCAGCTCTTACATAGTAAATTTTTGGTCACTCATCCAATGACCTACTCCTGCGGAAGTTGCTTTACTTCAACGATCGCAGCCGAAAGCCACTTGCGCCATCGAGATCCTCAGGTGAGTTACTGCTAGCAGTGATTATGAATGTTCGGTTTGATCAGCTATTGTGGACGCAAAGCAACTTTGCCACGACCAGTCATCGGATGGGTGATCGAAAACCAATTTTGTCTAGTACCCTTAGCACGAATCAATATATAGAGAAGTTTTGTATGGAAGTTTGACCAGCGCCACAACGGACGAGATTTAAATAAAAATCTTCCATACAAACCTTTTTGACATTTGACGCGTATCGAGATCGAGTTTAGCTATTCGAATTCGATATTGGTTCGCTCTTTAAGATGTATTCATTAGATAAGACATATTCCAAATTAAAACACTTGAAACATTTCCTGTATAGAGGTTCTCGAAGGCGCAAGTGGTAAACGCCCTCGGTCTGCGATCGTAGAGGTTAAGCAACTTTCGAAATGGCCGGTCGATAGATGGGTGAACAAGCATGTAATATCTCGAGCTTCTCCCCATTTCGGAAGGCGCTTTAAGCCGTTGTCCCGACTGCTGCTGCTGTGGTTAGCATTCACGAATCCACAATGGGTCCGTTTTAGGTATTATTGCCCAATCTTCGTATGCCGCCCGGAGACAGAACTCGTGTGCATGTATTTCCTATTGGTTAATTTTATCGGAGTATCGTAATATCACAACTTTTGTGAAAGGCTGATGAGCTTTTTGCGTCCGTTTCACTTATCAGCTTAAATTTGCATGATGCAGAAGGGATTTCGTAGAAGTCAGTTTGGATTAAGTTCCTTTTTTCATGACATCCATTTGCTGTACGATATTCAACCTTGAGTGTTTCCAAATTAAGTCGTTGTTGCTTTCCGGCACAGGTGCTAGACGCGAACAATTGCGACTACGAGCAACGGGAGAGATTCCTCCTTCTATGCGTGCACGGTGACCCTAATGCAGACTCGCTGGTTCAGTGGGAGATTGAAGTTTGCAAGCTGCCTAGACTGTCGCTGAACGGCGTGCGATTCAAGAGGATATCCGGTGAGATAATTGAGCAATCTTTTGAGACTTTCTTGATGGCTTTTTTGCAAAGAAAGTGCATGTAGTGATACTATCATTTTTTTTTGTATACCAACCATGTAAACACAAACTTACGTTTCACAAATAAAATTCTAATTTTGATTCTGATTGCTTTAATTCAAATGTGACAATCTGAAATGTCAGGAATAAATACTGTGTTATTACAGGAACCACAGGAACAGTTTTTTTGTAAGACCCCAACGCTTTCCAAACTTTTGACAATGCTGTCAATGCTGGAAGTGTTATTTGTGTTTCACATGGTAACTCCGGTTTAGTTTGCTGTCAAGTATAAGGCTTAAATACTTTGGTTCTATCGACAGTTATATACTGCGCTTTAAATCCATTCAATATTACTAAATTCTCAAACTACTTTTATTTCTAAATCAAGAAAAGTTTACTGGAAAAAAATCCACGTGGACCAGGCAGAACTACAATGCGAAGAGATGGCGCTGTCTTGTAGCCTAATTCTAGAGAAAATTCGACGTGGCCGTCAGGGCCGCGGCAGCATAATGAAAGGGTGCGGGTTCGAGTCCCGTCTGCTGCCTGGAGTTTTTTCTTGTAAACTTTTCTTAAGATTTAAACATCTAAGAGTTAAATGCTTAAAAAATAAAAATATAATTACTTTTATTTTATCACAGGCACAAGCATCGGCTTCAAGAACATTGCGTCCAAGATCGCGAACGAGCTCAAACTGTGACTGCCCGGGAACGCCCCGCGCCGGCGCCGTCGCCGACGCACCTCCCCCACCCCTCCCCTCCTCCCCCAGCCTACCTTGTCCCCGCCCTCCCCTCCCTCCTCCAGCGACGAGTCCCCTAACCGCCCCACTCTACCCCTGCCACCCCCTCCACCCCCTAGAACGGACTCTTTACGCCTATCAGCCGAAGATATGGTCTTCGTAGCGAATGGAGGAATGACCACCCCTTCGGGCGCTTTAGCGCACTTCCTAGCAGCTTATACCCCAGCAGAGTTATCTTTAGCCAGAAGCGATTACTTAAGACCCCCACCCTCGCCGAGAACTCAATTCTTACCGACCCCCCAACCCAGGTCTTCATTGTCTCTGAGAACGGAAAGCGTAGATGTGGATAGGTCAAGAACGCTTCTAAGACCCAAAATGCAACACCAGTCTTATTCGTACAGCGTTCATACTTTGAGGAGACAACCTAGGACTCGTTCGCCCCCTTGCGATTGCTTACCCACAGATCCTATTCCACCGCCCGAGTTGTTTGACTTTTGAATTTCCTGCGCGGAATGAAACGCTTGGTGGTTAACTAAATTCAATTTTTGAATATCCTCTCCTCTGTACTTGAAGCCTTGATGAATTTGTTTTAACTTGTAGGCTATGAAATTTTGAATTTCATTCCATGGAGTTTTGGCAAATGTGTAAAACGGATTTTTTCGAAGATGGAATGATGTACAGCTTTTTACGATAAACGTGAAAAAATAAATACGAAAAAAAAATTATTTATCGGAATCAAAAATGTTTTAAATGTGATTCAAGTTGCACATCATTCGACTTATAAATGATATAAAATTGATAGATTTGCGGTTTCGCTCGCGTCCTTTGCCATCTGCGACGTGTATTTCTAAAGAAATGAGCTAGTGAATGTACCTAGAAACAGTGACTTAAGATGTTTAATTTATAGTATCGATAGAATAGTGTTGGACAATCAAGGATGGTTTCAATGTGCCAATTGAAAACGTATGATGAGGACTAGATATGTGTTTATACACTGAATGTGACCACGATCGGTGATGAAACCGATTTTTTTGTAATGTTTTAAAACAAAAAATATAAGTACTTGTAAACTGAATTCGATTATTTAAAGGTTTAAATGTGAATCCTGTCTCAATTTACGCCACTTGTAATATAATTTTACTCGATACGATGGATTTTTTAATATCTTTTTTCCCCTGTAGATAAGTCGGCCGACGGACGACAAGCGCGCAGTTTGTTAGTTCCGATCAACGTGTTTTTTTAATTGTTTTTAATTTATATTTACGGTTGTTTCGAGAATTTTCGAATGTTAGGAAATTGTTTATTTTCTTCTTTTTTTTTAACTTTTTGAAAGACATTTTATTCGCTCGCGTGTCGTTCGTCCGTCTGTTCGTGCTATGCTTACCTATCGCGTACACTACGTATTTTTAATCATATTGTAATAATGTACAAAGTGAGTTCGCGCTCAATAATACAATTTAGCGTTAGTAAATTAATTATATTTTTTTCCAATTGTAATGACAAATATAAATATACTTACTACTTACAAAAAAAGTAAACAATATGGCTGTCGTCGAATAGCGATATAAATGTTCATAATATATCGATTTAATTACGTCACTGTAAGTCAGTATAATGCCACCAGTTTATGTTGTTTGATCCAGATATGAGGGCTCTTTAGAGACACGTATTAACATAAAATGGTTGTATAATCTCGCGATCGCCCACTGCGGTTGTCTCTTTCTAATTGTAAGGCTGAAATTAGAAAGTGTCAAAGTAATGTCTTTTCCAATTACTGTAACTTTACACAAATCTAGATGCATCGTAGGTTTAAAAAATAACCATCACTAACTGGAAGAAATTTAGACGTTTACTGTATATGTGATGAAAGTATTATGGACTCTGTAGTTATAGCAATAATGTTCATTGTTCATCGTGTCAAATTGTATGTCTCTATTTTTGATTTGGGTTCCTTTACGAACGCATTCTCAGCCTGCGGTTTGGTCATTAACAATTTTCGGTTTTTCGTGATTTGGTGTGATTTGCTTTCTCGATTTTTCTATTCGTGTGTGATGTTTCGCATACTTACTAGGTGATAAATAAATATTATACTTAAAAAAAAATAGTTTGTATGTATGCATGTACGTGTAAGCTGTGCGGCGATCGCGTCTCCTTTTCTATAATATAATTAAGTGTAGTGTTATTATACTTTTACATAAAATCACAAACCTGACATCTCGTTGCGTTCAAATAAAATCCGCCGCCGCCATTTTGACGATTCAATGCATGTCTTCGCAATACAAGGTATTATTGACTGAGAAATCGGTTTAGCGATATCGATAATATTGTACTATTATTAATCATCACTTCACTAGTTGGGACTTTTCTAAATGATGTTAATCGTAATAGTGTGGTGAGGCAAGGGAGTTTTTGTAAATGTTTATTGTTAAAAATGTATAATAATTATAACTATAACTATTATAATGAAACTCGTAAAAATAAAGATATCTTGTCCTTGTAATTTAAACGTGAGATGCATTGTAATTATTGTCTTTCAATGTGTTTTCTTTTTCAATTATGAACTTAGAACTAAAATAAATCGTTTAAAGTACTTAGACTTAATTTTTCATGTTTATATAGTTGTTACTTAGATATCTCCTTCGTGAAATGAAATGAAGTTTTGGCGCCAATCAATGTAACTCGCAATAATAATATAACAACGCCTTACGCGAATCGTGTTACTTTATAATATATTTAAACTAAATTTTATCATATAAAACAAAATGCATTCTGTGCACCTGCTTAAGTACCAGTGATAACAATTTATTAAATAGACGAAGCAGGATAGACTATACAAAAGTTAAAAATCAAGAGCTTTTTTTATCTCACACACAATTTTTGGTGTTAGTTAAAATGGCGCGTAACTCCAATGAAATGGCGTCTTTAGAGTGTGTCCTAATATAGCATGGTAAACGTGCGCGGCAATATATCATGTGATAATTATCCAATCAGAGCGTTGCTGCTGCTCGGAAACTGTGCTCTGATTGGTCAATTTTCGCATTGTGTAACTGCGCGTATTTTCCTTGCTTTATTTGTACACAGCTTTACAAAATGGCGGCGCGGTTCACCCCCCGGGTACATAATACTGTTTACATACTGTAGTTATATATTTATATATATATGAGCTTTGTTTTACGATATAATTTAGTGTAGAGCCGTTGCTCGAGTGCGCTCGGGTTCGGCGAGTGGTACGCCCTTTTGTGAGATATTCAAATGGAAATAAATTTTATTTTTAATTCCAGTAAAGTATTTTTTCTTATTTCTTTACGTACAGATCTTAAACTTACAGAAGCCCAAGCACAATTTTTTGACAGCTCCATAACTTATCGTTATTGTTAAATTTTATGTGGAAAAAGCTAGTTTTTTGTTACGTCCGATAGGCGGCACTGCTTAGTTTTCATAGAAACTTTTTCGCAATTTGAAGCTTTGTTTGCTTTAAAAATAGATAAATTATAGATTTATTTTATATTGAATGTGATATATATTCTGTGGGAAACTGACATGCCATTGTTGTCATTTAAGTGCTTGGAAACTATGAGTTTGGGATCAAATAGACAAAACCTTTAATAATATTTTATAATCAAGTCTTTATTAATAAAAATAAAACAACAACAATAACTTTTTATCTAAAACTCTTCTAAGAATAAACAACTAGAATAATTTAATACTTGAGTATTGTAGAGACTTATGAAATAAATCTTTGACTATCATTAAATTCTGCCTTATTAATATTTAATCAATGGGTTTCGTATCGTCTTACCAAGTAGGTATAACTATTTGACATTTTTATCATCACACTTTTCTTAACACACTTATTTCAAATACTATTTTACAATCAGGCCCCAATGGTCTAATTTCAACTACTATCATAATACGTTTCAGGTTCGTTCCGACATTAGAAAGGTACAAACTTCGACTAAGTACAAATTAAACTTAGGAAAAATGGGAATCGTGGTTGAGATACTAATTATTTTCAAAATCCTATTGACAGTATGAAAAATAAAGCACCAATAGGGTATTTGACAGTATTAAAAATAAAGTGCCAATTGTTAGCATGTGTTTAGAATTATTATTGGCAGGGGTTTTTACTATTTTTAGAAAAAAAAATATTCATAATTTTACTAAAAACCCACGAAAAAGATAATAGTTTTCGTATCTATTGTCACGTGACCCAAAACGCTCGGGATTGGCGGAGCCTAAAATAACGTCACACGCAAGTAAACTTCCGGTAAAAGTGACATTACATTGTATCGTTTGACGTTTTAATAACAGTCGTGTGACGTCACACACTAGTAAGACGCCATATTGTCCAGAGAAACGTTTTCGCGGCAACTTGAAAATGGAGTTTTTGATTTGGTTATTTTTACTGAAATACGCAACAGAATGATGAATATCCACTTTTTACGGACTCCATAAACATTAGTCAATAACGTGAGATCGTTTTCTAAAACTTGTCAAATACCCTATTACGATGGCTCCTACGTAAACTGCCCTAAGTGCAAAAATCAAATTTTACAGGAGAGCACTTTAAAGGTTCCAGAGCTGTATTTTGTATCATATCTCATAAACTACTAAAACAATATTTATGAAATTTTGCAGTAAGCGTAGACATGTCGTTTTATTTATATTATAGTTACATTTATTTATGTATTTTTTATATATTTCGAGATTTTGCACTTTCGACATTTTACATCGTTCATTTTCTATGATTAATATTATATTATTCCACGTAAAAAGGCTTTTGTGATCTTCCGCCCGTATACGAGGATCAATAATTATTTATGTTTGTGTATTATAACGGTATTGTTCTATATTTAAAGGGTTCTTTGTTACTATTAGAAGCCAAAATCAATAACGGTCAACCAAAAATAATACCTATTATGACGTAATTTCGTTTAAAAGCACATGCGCCCATAAACGGGGTGCAAACTATGGTTAAGTCTTTTTAACATGTAAAAATGGGTATCAAAAATAAAATATTTCAGTACTAAAAATCAAAAGTTTTATTCAGAAGTTTAGTAGACTTTATATCAAAAATATTTTTAAGAGAGCAATTACAATTTGGCATGAGTTTAACCTGACTTAAGTATTTTATTACAATCATACTCAATTATTTAAAAAGGTAAAAATCACTTTAATTGTACCTGCAAAATAAACTAGATTAACTACAATTATTTTTTATAAAAATATAAGTAATAAAGTAATAAAGTAAACAATCAACCACATTAATAATTTAAAAATAGAACTCAAAATCAACATAGAATTATTGAATGTTTTATTAGATTCTTTTAACAAACAAGACATTATGTAATTTTGAACCATAGATTTGCCACGTTTCGTTCTTAATTATAGAGAGTAAGTATAGCTTGCTCTAAAACAAATAATAAAATTAATTTAAAACTTAAAAGTATTGAGATCAACAGTTACGGAATATCACAATCAACAACTAGTTATAATTTTAATAATCTATTCTTCATCACTGCTTAAATCTTCAATTTGATCCGCTGATGATGATACTGTTAGATTAGAAAAAAATGCATGATATCCTGCTGGAATCACTTTAGCGCTACACATAGACATCAAATCTTTCTTTTTGTCTTCTGTAAGCGGTAACAGTCCATTATAACATCTATTTAAGCCAGGCTCTACTGGTACGTGGTCTTGTTTTCGGTATCTAGTACGCCTTTTTGTTGTATGCATTGGCTTAACATTTATGACATGTTCAGTTGCATCTCTAGCCAGGTCATACTTGAAAGTCAATGAATCAGGTGTATTGTGGGAGACTATAACTTGTTTTATTTTGGACCATTTCACTTGATTACCGTTTGCATCTTTAGTCCAATTATAGATAGAAGATTTCTGCATCTTCTTAAAATCAAAAATCATATCTTGAGTGACATCAGTAACTGTGTATGCTTCACCTGTTTGTTTCGACCACCGAATTAATGCATTCCACTCATTTGGAGTATAAATGATTTTATTTTTTGCAGCCTTTTCAATGGTTGCATGAACGCTGTCCACTTCCGATTGAGTGTGTCCTTTTTCCAAGTACGTATGTTTAACATTGACGCCAAATTTTTTAGAAGTATATAAGTACATGAAAAATATTATCCTGTTTCTATTCTGGCTTGAACAGTTATCAGACCAAAAGCGAAAATCATTATAGCCTTCTTTGGATTTTTTCACAATTAAATCATATACAAAACTTGCTATTTCATTTGGCCCTTTCTTCCCATCTTGCTCAGACCATAAATAACAAAATCCTTGTAATTTATCTATATCGAAGGCTGTGAAATTGTATAATTTTAATTTCATCTTATAATAAAATATACTTACATCACCGTGGGGACAATATAAGATTTTTTGCATGTCGTAACATGCACAAAATATTTTTTCACGGTTTAGTGCAGCTTGCTTTTTATCTTCTGTCTTTAATGATCGAGCTAAGTTTTTATTACTTGTATGTGTCGCGTACTCTAATTTCAAGTTTTCATTCGGTTCAGGTGTATTTTTAAAAACGTGGCATGTATCGCACAAGTCTTTTTTAGGTTTGTGGAAACTTAAGTTAATATTTTTGTTTATAATGTCACGATATTGTCGCAGAGATGCACACTTTGATGGGTACCTATTTGAATCGAACCATTCATTATACATCGTATACATTCTCCTAAACGTGAGCGACCCATCCAAATAAAGTCTACTGGTATCTTTTCGACAGTAATGAGACTCCACCGGCACATATGATTTTACATGGTCCAGAACACTCTCGATCATAGCATCAGAAGTAACTATAGGGTGATTCATGTGATGTCCTCTCTGATCATAGGCTGTCAGTTCACCCATATTTTTGGCTATAGCTGTGCGAACAACTTTTTCACTAACAGAAAAAGTTTGTAAAAATGTTGTTTTACAAACGCGGTGTTTTTGATCATTATCTACGTTAAATGTAGTGTTATTATCACTGTCTAGAACAGGCAGGTAATAAACATAGGTAAACGTGCGCCGTGATTCTTCAGAGATAGTTCTACGTTTATTAATTTTATGCACATACCTAGCTAGAATATCCCACTGTTTTGAATGGTCACCAACAGCCCAGAATCTATCAAATATTTTTTGACGTTGAGGATCTGTAAATTTTTCATAACACTTGTATGCACATTTTGGGTAACATCTTAAAGCACCTAGTGTTTTTGCACGTCTTAGTTTACCGTCCCGACTTTGGTATTGCAAGCCTAAATTTTTCAAGCGTTTCCGTTTCATATCTATCCATTCTCTTTGATATGTCTGTCTGAGTCTTCCAATATCTTTTCTTTTAGTATATTTCTTTTTCCTATTTCTTAAAAATGGTGAGAAAACGTCACTTGACGAATATACAGCTGGTTCACTAACTGATGCAGAGGATTGTATATCACTAGATATAACAGAACTCGGATTTTCATAGTTATCATCCATAGGTTCGATTAACTCTGGCGTTGATGTTAAATAGTCTGAATTAGTAAATGGAAACTTTTCAAAAGAACTATCCACGTTGGAGTAAGCTGAAAATGACATTGGCGGTGAAGGCATTGGTGTATTAAAAATTACAGATTCAGTTTTATCAATAGGAGACGTCTGTGCATCATCTTCAACAGTTTTTGTTAGCTGTAAGTCTGTATGAACGAAAATTTCAAAAGATAAATCTTCAACTGCATATTCTGCACCAGATGGAAGAGGAGATACTGCAACAAAAGATAATATAATATTTCAAATCAAATTGGTATTGTATAATATAATTATAACAAATAATAACTTCAATTCAAATACCCACCTGCAGTTACGCCATGGCATATTATTAAGTAAATATAAATACCTAGCTAATAAGAACACTACCTTATTTTGTAAAACGCATAGTTATACTTGTAACTAATAAAAAATATTAAATTATTTTCCATTAAGTACAAAAATCATTAAAATTCAAAAATGGGCGAAAACGATTTATGATAAATTAAGCTACGTAAAAAGGCAGATGTGACTTTACGCCTTTATACACGGTTTTCGGTAAAATAGTTACAAAAATATATTTTGTGACTATAAAAATTGATTACCACACTGATGTTATGTAATTTATGTATTAAAAGACAAAATAGATCTTTGTATCTTACCTGTACATTCCGTGTCATTATTTTCGTTTTGAATCTCGTCTTCGAAGCTTAAATCAGTGCTGTTGTTTTGATGCATAATTTTATCTATAATTTTTTGAGCTCTTGTTAACCGCATACCTTTCTTTGGAAGCATTTCCGTTAAAACTAGTTGAATTATATATAAATTTACACTACAAACGCACGAGCGCCACTGTCGCGACGGAAAGTTCCCAAACACTGAGTAGAACGACTGAAGCGGTACCTCCGCCCGCTCACCGCACCCCGTCGCGATTCCTCGACGCTGTACATGGACCGATCGTTTCATCGGGCCTTATACGCAACTATTTAGTGCGTATACGCCCATATGCCTAAAAATTTATTTTTGAAATAGCCAAAAAAAATTTTTTTTTATTTTTTTATATTATAGATTAGGTCTAAATAAACTCATTGCACAAATAATTGGAAAAAGGCTTAAGCGGCATTTTGGCCCTTTTACGTAGGAGCCATCGATTATTAACATGTGTATTTCAGGAATATCTAAAGCGATTTAATTTTTTTACCAAAAAATAACCTAACTTTTTGAAAATATCACTAAAAATCAGGAAGTAGAAATATATTTTTTGATCTATTGTCACGTGACCGAAAACGACTAGGATTGGCGGAGCCTATAATAACGTCACCTCCTTGTAAAAATGCTGTTGAAGCGACGTTACTTTGTACTGTTTGACGTTTAAATGAGAGCCGTGTGATGTCGGCTGCCTGTTAGACGCCATATTTGCTAGAGAATCGTGGCATATTTGAAACAATTTTATTTTCGTTCTTTTTACTAATTTACGCCACAGAATTATATAGGTTTTATGTGGTTACCATACACTAATAAATAACGTATGAACGTGTTAAATAGCCTATTGTCAAAT